TTGGTGGAAATAGTACTGCATTCAGCACCCCAACCGTGCAAACTTGCGTCGGATTTGATTATCAAATCTGGAGCTGTACAAAATATGGTGTGCTTATTCCAAGCTTCCATGTGAAGAAACCACCATTGGAGTTCATTCTCCGCTTCTGAGTCCAGAGTTGCCATATCTGTGTATGATGTGCTGCCCTTGAGATGAAGTTTGTAATCGTTGTAGGGCTCGATAGCCAAGAAGACCTGTAGAAATGGCCTGTATAGATGCCGCTAGAAGGCCTAACATTCTCAACAGTTGTTTGAGAGAGAGTTGAGAGGTTGCTAGTGTTCGCCTATCTCCTTCTTTATATTGGCTAATTTTGCCACCGGAGGGTGTAGAGTTTGAAGGGTAGAATCTACAATAATCCAATATAACCCAGAAATTTTATTTGTTGCGTGGGAACGATAAAAGATTTCTCCCAATTGGTCAGGAAGCCTAGGTTCTCTAACAGAGTCAAAGTCCATGCAAGGTATGTCCGGATTGAATAGACTGAGCCAGAATGAAAAATGCCATCTAAATATATTATAAGATGTGAGCTTGGTGAAGCACCATGGAGCCGAAGACAGTCCGAATGGGAGGCACTCTATTTACTGCCCTACCATGTAAATTGCAGGACGTTCTCAATCTTGATGTTGTACTGGGATAGGCACTGTGAGATATGCATCCTGCAGATCCAATTTGGCCATCCAATCTGCTGGTTGGAGAAGATCCCTTAAACAATGCTCTCCTTCCATCTTGGAAGTGCTGATATGCTCATAACTATTGAACAGTCTCAAATTTATCACTGGACGGATACCTTTGCCTTTTTTGGGAAACAAGAAAAGGTTGCTCACGTAACCCAGGGTATGCGTCAATTAAAGCCTGCATGTCAGCAGGATCAGTAAAGCAGAAATTCAGCCTCATCTCCAGAGATACCTGGAGAGGCTTCTACATTAATCTGCATGTTTGCTGTAGACCCAGAAGGCACAGAAAAATCCTGCCAGACTGCATCATAAATATACAAACAAACCTAAGGGGATGAATAAAGCAAAATAATACCAAAAGTAAAGGGTTGAGTAACCCTCAAGTAAAAATAAATAACTAACTAAACAGGATAAAGAAATGAAAGTACTCACAATAGTGAAAAGAAATAGCAATTGTAAGATAAAAACAAAGGAGCTGCCCGGCTGCCACTACCACTAAACCCCAACTTGGATTTCTGGCAGTTGGTGGCAGAGCAGCAGCCAGACAGATAAATGAAGGGAAAAAAACAGCACAATGGCCCTGTGCAGGGAATAAAGATCATCAAAGACGCCCCTGAGCCCCAATTGATGGTAATCTTGGGGCCAGGGAGGTCAGAGGGGAAATACATTATCAAAGGATATATAATAAAGCATATAACAGACGCAAATGAAGTAAATAAATCAAATTACGTTAAAATGAAGTAACTAAATATATTTATAAACATGAAAATATTATAATTAAAATGTAATAACTATAATTACTATATTAATCACAGTAATGATATGAATAAAGTAAAGTAAAAGATCCCACAGTTAAGAACCGTGGGACCCAGTGTCACTTAACTGAGGGAGCAGCAAAGAAAGAGGAAGTAGTATACTGGACACTGCCTATTATGCTATAAAGAGGATGCTGATTGGCTGTTCCTGTTGCTAGGAAGATATACCTCATGTTATTTACTGGTTTCTTTTATACTGATTTAATGTTATTTTTCTTTGCTGCTGAGGTAAATAAAGAAAGAGTGCAGCATAATAGGAGCCTCCGTGTCTTAATAAAATCATGCTGCTAATCAGCATCTTGATATGCCACACCTGTGAGATGGATGGATTATCTCGGCAAAGGAGAAGTGCTCACTAACACAGATTTAGACAGATTTGTGAACAATATTTGAGAGAAACAGGCCTTTTGTATACATAGAAAAAGTCTTAGATCTTTGAGTTCAGCTCATGAAAAATGGGGCAAAACCAAAAAGTGTTGTGTTTAAAATTGTGTTAAGTCTATATATGTGTGTGTGTATATATATTTTATTCCCCACCACAACTCTTTTGGTATGTACTTAACAAGTAACGCCAAGCCTCAATAGCCAGCCAGTAACCAACCTCATGCTGATGAGTTGCATTAACCAGAAACAGCTGTCCATGAGTGGTTCACTGGCTTTGCTCTTCTTCATGAGTTGTGTTTCAAAGCTGTTGTATGTAGCAGACACATACTCCAAGGAATCCCTGTATAAAGAGGAATTATGAGGCACAAATGTGGTTCTTTGTTGAGCTCATTTGCATACGCCTACCCAGAATCCTTTGCAGTAGTGAGAGCACTGTTAAAGTGAGATTTATGTGGGAAAAGCAAGTTTTATGGCTTTACTGATGTGTGTATTTGTGTTTAGCAATGTATTTACCGTATATATTAGAGTATAAGACGAGTTTTTCGGCACATTTTTTGTGCTGAAAAACCCCCACTCATCTTATACTCGAGTCAATGTCTGTATTATGACAACTTACATTGCCATAATACCGACCAGGACCGCAAGGCTCATTACAAGACCGGCGGTCCTGTTGGGGGCTGGTAGCGAGCTGTAACTTACCTTTCCTGCAGCTCCCCTCTCTTTCCTCTGGTCCGGTCAGCTCCCCTGTCAGCTCCATTGCAAGTCTCGCAAGAGCCGCGGGGTCAGAGCATTGCCACGGATTACCGTGGCAACGCTCCGTGCAGCACTCAGACCGCGAGACTTACAGTGGGAGCTGACCGGACCAGAGGAGAGAGAAGGGAGCTGACAGGAGCTGCAGGAAAGGTAAGTTACAGCTCGCTGCCAGCCCCCCTCCTACACAGCCCATGCCACTGGACCACCAGGGAATGAGAGCCCCCCTCCCTGGCCAGCTAACAAGCAGGGAGGGGGGACGAAAAAAATATAAATAAAAATTGAATTAATAAAATAATAATATAAAAAATTTTTATATTAAAATAATAATAATAATAATTAAAATATATAATAAAAATGCCCACCCACCAAGGCTCTGCATCACATACACAAACACACTCTGCATTCATACACACACACACTGCATTCATACACACACACACACACACTGCATTCATACACACACACACACACACTGCATTCATACACACACTCTGCATTCATATACATACACACACTCTGCATTATATACACACACTGCATTCATATACAGTATATATATATATTTTCTTATTTAGTTGTATCAAGATTTCAAGGATGGCATCAAGCTCTGATTGTTGCTTTTGTTCTGTTCTGTGTGTGTGTGTGGGTGTGTGTGTTCTCATACTATAAACCCCTGTCGAGAAGAGGTTTCTGGGATATGTAGTTCATTCCCAGAAACACTCATTGGAATGACCAGCTCTCTCATAACGGTTTTACTTTGTATTTCTTGGCTTCAACGTGTCCCTGTAGACCCACATGCCTAAATCTGACCATCAGACTGACCATGAGCAGCGCCACAGCCTTGATACGACACCCAAACAGCGTAACAGCCCTTATATTAACTGATTTCTGTTATCGGACTGATAACGCCCAGTGCACAGCAACCTTTCCTCTCCGACATAGTGCGCTCAGTCACCCCTGAATCATGCTTCCAGTCACATACGGGAAAGTTCATCACCGTATGGCAGAATGTTTTGCACCTTTTTTGGCAATGCGTTTTTAAAAAAAAAATTTAATTTACCGTCTGTTTTTTTTTTTGGGTGGGGAGGATGGGGGATAGGGGAGGGTGGTTGTATGTTGCTTCTTTTTTAAGCAAACAATGATTCTTGAATATCTGCCTTTTTGGACAACACAACAGACTTACACATTTTGTTACTTTTTTTTTAATTTATTTTTTACCAGAACAGTCTTTCTTCTGATTTTTAGAAAGTTTACTGAAATGGTTAATTTGAAAAAAATAAAAAAAAAATGAATTTTTTAAAAACAAAATTATTGCATTCAATTTCATGTTTGCACCTGTTTTGTGCACATGTGGCATTTTCTTATGTATAAAACTGATATTCCATCGCTTTTATTTTATTTGCACAGATTTCTAGTTAGCAAAGCGTCTGGAAACGGCATAGTTGGTCTCTTTAAAAACTGAGCACGTCTGGATTTTTTTACACTTTACACAAAAATGAAGATTGCAGCAGCTCCTCACCTGTCGCAGGAAATCCACCAATCGGTCAGTGATGGAAAATTGCTCGGAAAGAAAGAGTGACATTTAGAACTTTTTTAACGTAGATTGCAAGAAACAAATTGTGTAAAAAAATAAATAAAAAATCCAATTGAAACTGAATAATAAAATGATGGAAGACGTGGAATAAAGAATATTGTGGTGCATATAATGGAATACGTAAGGGCTAATAGGAAACCCCCCAAAAAAACCTGAAAGTAAATAAAAGTAAAATGTACATAAATATCTATAACCCTCTAATATATAGGAAAAGGTCTAAGGAGCCACAGTTTCATATATATATATATATATATATATATATATATATTCTTATCTTACACTTTTCTCCCCCACCCCTCCCATTTGCCTCCAGTAGTCACTTTATTTCTATTTAGTTATTAGAAAATCTCTCTTCCATGGTGTGTGAGAAACGTTTATTTGACACAAAGCATGGAATTGCTGCTCGTACACACGCTGCTTTTAAGACTAATATGGATTTTTAATTACTTGGGGACGTTTGCTTTTCTTGGCTGTCCATTTTCTCGAAATAGATACCGTTCTGATAAAGACTAGATGTTTCACAGACACAGCTGATATTGTATCACACAACAAGCTCCGCTCTGTGATCACAAATTCTATAAAATATAGGCAACGCAGAGAGATAGTGGGAGCATTTTGCCGTGTTTTGTTCTCCCCTTCATTAAATAATATTAATCGCTATAAGCCAGTCTAGCTCCATGCATTACACGTGTCCCACCCCCAGCTCATCCAGAGTGAATGCATCCGATTCAATGAGAAGAAATGAATGGCCGCTTGCTATCGGAGACCCTCTCCCCCTCCTCCTGTTCCCAGCCCTCTCTCCTCCTCTGTAACCTTGTTGCACATAGCGATGTGATAATGTGGTGTGTGCTCTCTGGCCGTGAAGGAGTTAACACTTGTCGCTGGAGACAGATAGCTAGGAGCCGAGCAGAGGGACCAGGAGGACGGAAAGGACTAGTGAATTACCAGCGAGTCGCTCCCTGACTCCCAAAACATGTCTGTCCCTCTACACATGCACCTGTGAGCCCTCCACTCAACACGTATGTTGAACCAGTTTTGTTTTGTTTTTCCGCTATGTGTTGGTTGAGAAGTGTTGTGTGTCCTGTGTACTTGCCAACATTTGGGCAGCTGCAGCGAGTGTCTAATATATGTTGGGTCCCTTTGGTTTGGGACTGTGTAGGTCCTATACATATGACCTGTAACAAGGGATTTTAAACAAAATGTTTTGTTTAAAAAAATTTTTTAAAGTGTGTGTGTGTATATATAAAATGTAATTTAATGTCGTCCACAGTAACATGAAAATATCACATGTCTTTCTTATACAGTGCAGGGCCATAGTACTTTAAATGTATCCTCTATTCAGGGATGTAAGTGGTCTCAGCTGTCTGTCAGAACAAAAAAACCCACATCCATTTATCTTTGCTGTGTAAAACATACTGAGCTCTTTATCACTGTGTTGTGGGGCTTTGTGTCTGTTTACCTAGACAAATATTTTTTTTTTAATCTTTTCGCTCCCTTTGCAATTTTCTGATTCTAGTCCATATATTGTATTTTAATTACCCGAACCCCACCCAACCCCTTTATTGGTCCTGTAATCCTAGTATATCAATAAATAGTTGCAACCCTAAAAAATGCCCAAATAATCTAAAACATGCCTCGTGCTACATCTTTTGAGGAAAATAATGCCATCCCAGAGTTCTGGAGACTCCGTCTTCTAAGTTTATCTGATGTCTTCAGAAACCCACTATAATACAGATATATATTAGCAAGCGTGATTACATCACTTATGTTATTATCGGACTGAAAAATGACCCCAAACAGAGAGAGAGAAAAAATGAGGGCGAGGAGAAGAGAAAAGTGAGAAATTTAGAAAAATCCACTCAGTGAACACATGGAACAAATCTATAGTACCGAGGATGGTATCTCCACAATGGCCAAATGTTGTCGCATTGTTAAAGCATTTGTTCTTTATTACATCTTTATTGAGCAGAAAAGGCATAATGTAGACAGTATAGATATTGACAAAAAGACATTACTCGGATTTCATCTTGTACACATTTGAAATAATTTGTAAAAAATATAAATGTTTAAGAAGTTTTGTCTAGAACGGTGGGTATTCGCACGGTTTGTTCTGAGCGCCGTTTGGGGTAGATGAGGTGTAATACACAAGGAATGCGCAAGTTCTGTGGAATTAAAGAGAACAAATATGTCTTACTGTCCCTTAGGAGTGAGAGTTATACGGGCCATGCCCCCCCCCCCATTACCTACTCAGAGACTAGGCCCCCCCAGCTTGGGAGGCTTCAGATGAAAATGTTGGGTATTCCCTGAAAGCCCCCATACAGTCTCGCTTGCAGCTCGGAAGAATCAGAGGAGTTTAATGGAGCCTTGTGTTGCTGTTGGATCGGGTGTAATAGGGATGGTAACTGGGTGTACGAGAGCATTTTACAGGGTAACAGTCTGGTTAATCACCACATGAAGTAATCAGGAACGTTCTATTCTGCGATCACAGGCGAAAATTGTCCAGATATTTCATGGATCACAGTTTAACAGATCAATCATTGTTCCAGCTTATGGAGTATCACTCTGACATCCCTGGAAAGGTTTGAGGGATTATTGCATGTGTTTGTGGTCCCCGATTGTGATACACTATGTCACATGCAACAGTCGCTTTCACGGACTGGACCAAAACCTGTGTTTAATGTTCTTTTTCTGTATTCTGGTTCTTCAACTTTGCCTAATTTTAGAATATAAATGAACCCCCCTAAAGCGCTACAAATGTGTATCACAAACACAAATACTAACCACAGCCTGCAATTACTGAGCGGGCACCGGCCACCGATTGCGATTTAGTTTAATTTGTTCCCTTTGTTTGCTGTAGGTATTAGTAGTTTGACAGCCTCCAATTACCATCCAACGCTGTTAATGCAATCTTCTAGTCCCCGAATGGATTATAGCGGGTGGCAAGGGAGCACCTAAACACTTAATACTTCATAACAAACCAGTTAAAGGGTTTCTGAAGGATTTTTGGGAATAGAAGCCTACATAGAATGTTTATTTTCACTGTGCAGGTAAGAATTTTCACAAATGTTTTCTGGACGTTTAGGGGTTTGAAGGAAACCGGCATTAACTAGAATAACCAAACTGCAGCCTTTCCAATGAAACCAACTGATGTCAGACCAGCAGGAGAAGAGAAAGTATTGGACTCACAAAACTATAAAAAGTGTGTGAATATTATTCCAAGTAAACACGCATTTTGCATCCTGGAAAATCCACGATCTGCGTGTGTCTTTAAGCATTGGTCCAATAGGTACTTTATAAAATAAACTTGATTTTTTTTATTATGATATTCACTGCAGATCTGACACAGTGTTAATGCTTGTTTCTAAAACCTGCGCTATCGACTTAACCTCAAACTGTGAAGCGAACTGCAAATCTTGGGTCCAGGTAGAAGTTTATATTGAGCATTTCTTACATTCTATATTTTAACCTAAACTTTCAAATGAATCTGCCAGTTCTCGAAAGTTCCTTTTTTTTTTTTTGTAAATAACTCCAACAAAGTTCAGAAACAGATGTGAAATGTATCTGCCGCACTGTGTAGGCTTTTAGCACAGATCTGTGTCACTCTGCACCCTCGCTTCTCCAAGAAGAGGGCTGTAGGCACTGTGTGAGTTCTGAGCTGAGTGTACGATCAGGATGTAGTGATTTGAGGCAATATAGACAGACTGTGTGTATAGATAATAAACAGCCGATGATGCTTTCTGAGTTTAATTTTTTTTTTTTTTTTTTAAATGCCTACAATAAATCTCTAACCAGGTAACCAATGTTAAAAAGGGCAAATCGATTTGCTTCTGTGCATGTTAAACACAAATATTATACGTCTTTTACTGATTGAAATCTTGGGAAATGTGACTTATAAACGTGTTGTAGTAGCAGGATACTGGAGATTGGATTTACAATTGATTGAGAACAGCTGCGATGCCAGACATTAATTGAATTTTTCTTGAATGGGCTTACATTATTCCTGTATTTCTCCAATAAATCCTTCCACATCTAATCTGATTTCACTTTGGAGCTTCTTGTGGTTCAACTGAGAACAGGTTTGCCTCGGATATCTAGGGAATTGTGGTTTTGAAATTAAAAATCTGTTGTGTTTTGGGCTGCTGCATGTCTGTTTATGATGTGGCAATTGTTCTTTAACCCTTTATTTCGGTACAATAATATCTCACTCTGTATTCATTTTCTAATTTTTCTTTGTCTTCTCATCTTCAGATTCACCTCTGACATGGCCAGGGATTTAAGAGTTCCTATGGACCAGGACTTACAGGTTAAAATTTCCCCCAGAGAAATTAAGAAGTTGCCCAAACGGGCTCGAGAGGACTCATCAATGACCGGTGATCGATCTCATTTCCCGGCCGACCAAAAAAAGCCACGACAGAGATATATGGAAAAGGACGGCAAATGCAATGTGCACCACGGAAACGTCAAGGAAACCTACCGCTACATTACTGATCTGTTCACGACTCTTGTGGACCTCAAATGGCACATCAGCCTGTTCATCTTCACACTTGTGTACACAGTCACGTGGCTGTTTTTTGGCTTAATCTGGTGGTTCATTGCTTATCTCCGTGGGGACTTGGAACATATAGGCGACAAAAGCTGGGTTCCTTGTGTAGAGAATCTTAATGGCTTTGTCTCTGCTTTCCTCTTTTCTATTGAGACGGAGACGACGATTGGCTATGGTTACCGCGTGATTACAGAGAAGTGTCCTGAAGGAATTATCTTGCTGCTGGTTCAAGCTATCTTGGGCTCCATTGTTAATGCACTCATGGTGGGCTGCATGTTTGTAAAGATAAGTCAGCCTAAAAAACGTGCAGAAACCCTGATGTTTTCCAATAACGCAGTGATTTCTTTACGAGATGAAAAGCTATGCTTGATGTTCCGCGTAGGCGACCTGCGCAGTTCCCACATTGTGGAGGCCTCCATTCGCGCCAAGCTCATTAAGTCTAAACAGACCAAGGAAGGAGAGTTCATACCTCTTAATCAGACTGATATCAATGTGGGCTTTGATACAGGTGACGACCGTCTCTTCCTGGTCTCCCCTCTGATTATTTCACATGAAATAAATGAGAAAAGTCCTTTTTGGGAAATGTCGCGCATGCAGCATGAGGGAGAGGACTTTGAGATTGTTGTAATCCTGGAAGGAATGGTAGAAGCTACAGGTAAGACATTTGGGCCTGTTATATGGGGAGAAAATGCCTTTCATCCTTTCCATAGTCAGGGAATACTCATTAAAAGGACACTCCAGGTACCAGCACAGGTTTTGGCCAGATATCCATGCTGACATTTTCTCTACATTCCGTTCTCTTTAATTTAAAATAATTTTGCAAGAAAAAAGTTTTACAAGTTTCTGCAGATAACTCTGCCCATAGGCATGTGCATGAGGGGAGCAATGTGTTCGCAGTCACACTCTAACGTACGGCACTCAACTCTCCATTTATTGAGCGTTCGAAAGAGTTCATTCTCCAGCTGAAGGTGAAGATTATCATATTTTGCATATCTGCTCGCTACATTATCATATTTTGCAATCGTCCTTTGCTTTTCAAACTCCCCAGACAGAAAATGCTGCAGGCAGAGTGTGTGCTGACAGTAATGAACACTGTCTGTGATAAGAAACCGCCTGACCCGAGGTGCGTAAAGAACGATAGCAGAAAGAGTGGGAATAGTAGGTGAATGATTTCTTCAAAATTCCAACCTTTGTGAATTTAAAAAAAATAAAATGGTATGTTATATCATAAGTCATATTTTTTTTGATATATGAAACCTTTTTAGTGATGGTCATTCTTAAAGTGGTGCTGGTGCCCAGAATGTCCCTTTTAGAGGAGGGAAGCTCTATAATCGCTTTCCAGCAGGGTGGCTGAGACATTGACTCTGGGAGGATTCAAGAAATAGTGAGATATACCCAAAGCTGCCCTGAGTTGGAAATACAGTGCAGAATAAAGTCTGAGATTTTTGTTTGGAAATAACTAAACTAAATGGGATATTTGGGATTCCTTTTTGCCAAAATCGGTTTCTCTCTGAATCTTAACTTCTGCATAATTGATGGAGTATATTGTATTAAGGAGTCTAGGTTACTTGGAATTGTTTTTTTTGTTTTTCCTATTGTATTGTAAACGCTATCTTTATCGCATTTTATTATTTATCTACATAGCCCATAATCCTGTTTATACATCAGTGGATGTGCTTTATAAGGTACAGTAATCATTCTGGACTGGAAGTCAGTGGATGCAGATCACACAAGGTGCAGCTAAATCGAATTCTTCTAACCCAGCTCCCGAATAAAAATTAAATATAAAGATCTAGCGTAGAACTAAATCCTCTATCTATTTACAAAATCCCGCTTGTTGCATATTCACAAGGTTACGGTTATTTCAACACAGAAAGACAAACCAAGTGAGACGTTTTCCATCTATTTAAAAGAAATGTAGTGTTTTATTTGCACACCTTTTGGTATTGCTAGTACTGTATTTGTTAAAGGAACACTATAGTCACCTAAATTACTTTAGCTAAATAAAGCAGTTTTAGTCTATAGAGCATTCCCCTGCAATTTCACTGCTCAATTCACTGTCATTTAGGAGTTAAATCGCTTTGTTTCTGTTTATACAGCCCTAGCCACACCTCCCCTGGCTATGATTGACAGATCCTGCATGAAAAAAAACTGGTTTCATGTAATTTACATTAAATAATTGTATCTCAATCTCTAAATTGAATTTTAATCACATACAGGAGGCTCTTGCAGGGTCTAGCAAGCTATTCACATATCAGGGGATAAGAAAATCTTAATTAAACAGAACTTGCAATAAAGAAAGCCTAAATAGGGCTCTCTTTACAGGAAGTGTTTATGGAAGGCTGTGCAAGTCACAAGCAGGGAGGTGTGACTAGGGTTCATAAACAAAGGGATTTAACTCCTAAATGGCAGAGGATTGAGCAGTGAGGCTGCAGGGGCATGTTCTATACACCAAAACTGCTTCATTAAGCTAAAGTTGTTCAGGTGACTATAGTGTCCCTTTAACCTTGATAAATTCTGTTTAAAAAAAAAACCAGTAGCCAAACACAGCAAGTTTAATTTACAGACCGTATCATGTTACACTTTCCAAAGATGTCGGGTACAATGCTACGTTCTACTACATTTCATATGTTACCAACGTCAATAAGCATGTGAAAAGCGTCCACATGGCGCTCCTTGAGGGGAGCAGGCTGTTCGCAGTGACACCCTAATGTACGGCACTCAATTCTCCATTTATTGAGAGTTCAAAAGAGTTCATTCTCCTGCGGAAGATGAAGATTATCATATTTTGCATATCTGTTCGCTACATTATCATATTTTGCAATCGTCTGTTGCTTTAGCTGCCACAAACCCCGATAATTCTCTTTATTCTATTTATTTATTTATTCTATTTTTCTATTTCATAGAAAATTACATGAATTCTATATTATTCAAAGATTGATGGATTTCAGACTGTGTGTGTGTAGGCCCTCATAGACAAATCTCTTATTACAAGAGCTGACACTCTGCAAAGCTGCAATTTGCCTGAAATTAGATTTTCTTTTCTGGTTTGATCTTTGTGAAGGAGAGAAATTCATTCTGGAAGGTCTGATTGGTTCTATTCTCCGTTATTACATCGGCTGTTTTAACGATAATTTCATAATACTTCATAATACCCAGCCTCTCAGAGAATTAGGGTTCCTTTCTGAACACAAAACCGTTTGTAAATCCCATTTGTAAACCCATCGAACTCTAATCCTCCCTCCCTTCTCTCTTCTCCTGGGGCCCCCTTCGATGTTTCATTTCCCCATGTGTCTCATTCCCTGCCCCCAGCCCCTCCATGTGTCTCATCCCCCCCAAGTGTCTCATTTCCTCCCCCTAACCCCTCCATGTGTAACATTCCCTACCCCCCAACCCCTCCATGTGCAACATTTCCTCCCCCCAAGCCCCTTAATTTGTCTTATGTCTCCCAAAGCCTCTCTATGTGTCTCATCCACCCAGGCACCTCCATGTGTCTTTCTCCCCCTCCGCTCTTGCCCCTCCATGTGTCTCATTCCCTTCTCCAAGTATCTCATTCGCTCCCCCCAGACCCTCCATGCGTCTAATTTCACCCACAAGCCACTCCATGTGTATTTCTACCTCCTCCACTCTTGCCCCTCCATGTGTCTCTCCCCACCCTGCAGCCCCTCCATGTGTCTCTCTCCCCCCTGCAGCCCCACCATTTCTCTCACCCCCTCCCTTCCCTGCAGCCACTCCATTTCTCTCCGTCCTCCCCTTCCCTGCAGATTCTCAATTTCCCTCTTCCCCACCCTTTCCCTGCAGCACCTCCATTTCTCTCCTGTTGCAGCCCCTCCATTTCTCTCACCCCTTGCCCTGCAGACCCTTCATTTCTCTACCCCATGAAGACCCTCCATTTCTCGCCCCTTCCCCCACAGACCCTCCCATTTCTCCCCCCGCAGACCCATTATTTCCCCATTCCCCTGCAACCCTCCATTTCAACCCCCCCTTTCCTCTGCAGACCCACCATTTCTCTCTCTCCCTGCAGACCCTCCATTTCTCCATTTCCCTTCCCTGCACACCTTCCATCCCCTTCCTGCAGACTTCCATTTAACCTCTCCCCTGCAGACCCTCCATTTCACCCCCTCCCCCCGATCTTGGTACCCGTCTGAGTCTGACAGGAAGTGTTCTCTCAGTGAGCACTTCCTGTCAGACCGCTCGGCCGCGCTACACACAGCAGCAAGAGGGGAGCACAGCACATCACTCCCCTCTTGCCAGTTAGCCTGCGACTGCGGGCCTTGGCTGGTGCTTCTGTGCACCGGCCCTAAAGGTCTGCTTGCGGCCCATGGTCGCAGGGGTCGCAGTGGTGGATGGGACCCCTGGAGTGACAGGCCCGGTCACAGCTGTGACCGATGCGACCGTGGCAGTGGCGTACATACTGGGGTTGCAGGGGTCGCGACCCGGTATGTACCCACTGTGACCAGCCTCTTCTCCTGAGGTGCCCAGGAGCTGGCCCTATCACCAGGCGGGCAGGCAGGCTGGCGGGCGTGCGAGGGAGCACTCTCCCCTGTGTGCTCCCTCGTGCACCGTACTGATACCGGAGCCAGAAGATGACGTCATCTTCCGGCTCTGGCATCAGTACGCGGCGTGCGAGGGAGCTGAAGAGGAAGCACTCAGCCAGAGAGAGTGCTCCCTCGCACGCCCGCCAGCCTGCCTGCCCGCCGGGTGATAGCAGGGCCAGCCCCACTGGACCCCAGGGAATCCCCTCAGCACTCCCAAAGTTAAGGAGGCTGGGGGGGGATTAATTTTTTCTTTTTAAAAGTGTGTGAGCGTGTGTGTGTCTGTGTGTGTGTGAGCATGTGTGTGTCTGTGTGTGCGTGTGTGTGTGCGTGTCTGTGTGTGTGTGTGTGTGTCACTGAGTGTATTAGTTTGTGTGCATCTGTTAGTGAGTGTGTGTTTTGTGAGTGTGTGTCTGTCTCTCTGTCTGTCAGTGAGTGTGTATGTATGTCTGTCACTGAGTGTGTGTCTGTCAGTAAATGTGTGTGTCTGTTAGCTAGTGTGTATGCGTCTGTTCGTGAGAGAGTGTGTGTGTGTGTGTCTTAAGCACTTACCTTTCTCCAGCACCGGACTCCCTTGGCGCTGGGGATCTCTCTGCCCCGATTCGCCTTTCAGCTACGAATGCGCATGCGTGGCAAGAGCCGCGTGCGCTTTCAGTTTCACTACTCAATGCTTTCCTATGGACGTTCAGCGTCTTCTCACTGTGATTTTCACAGTGAGAATCGCGGAAGCTCCTCTAGTGGCTGTCTCATTGATTAGCTGGATTAACCCTTCTCTGAAACTTCTATGTTTTCAGCTGCAGGGTTAAAACTAGAGGGACCTGGCACCCAGACCACTTCATTGAGCTGATGTGATCTGGGTGTCTGTAGTGGTCCTTTAAGTGTATGTGTATCTGCATGCACTGGCGTACATACCGCGGTCGCAGGGGTCGCAGCCTTGCGACCAGGTGCCCACCGCCATGTGTTGCGGCCCCAGCCCGGGCAGAGTAAGCGTGTGGGGGGGGGGGCGCACGGATCAGTTTTCGCACCGGGGCCCCATGGGTTGTGTGTACGCCACTGGACCGTGGTAGTTACGCCACTGGTGTTAATATAAGTGTATATACAATTTTATAATATATATGTGTGTATAGTATATGGTTGTGTGAGTGAAGAATGTGATTGTGTGTGCGTGTGTGTGTGTGTGTAAGGTTTATAGTTTTAACCCTGCATGTGCTGTTCACATAGAAGCTGGGTTTCAACTGGCAAGTTTCAAATCCCCGAGAGGCAGGGTTTAACCCTGTGACTACGGATAGTAAGTGAGGTGAAGGAACTTTGTCACCTCTTGCAGGCCTTGATCTCAATCTATTGCTTGGACAGGGTCGGTAAGATGGGGTAATGAGCAGCCTGAGATGGAGGTGGCTATAGTGATTGGAGACCACGAGGTGTAAGGGCAATCAGTACTGACTTGGGGATATTTAATCTCAGACAGTTTTATATATATAGATAGATAGATTTGAGTGGCCATGCTAGTCCAGTAATTCTGATGCTAAAATTGCTTTTTTACTTTTCTTCACTAGTCACCCCAGTAACCACTTCAGCATGTGAGGGTATGAGATTATTTTCAGAGAATTTCCATTTTAATAGAGACCGTACAATGCATGCATGATCGCTTCGCACTAATGTCGTCTGAAAACTACCCAGAGTAAAGCAAGCATAACGATGGGCAGCTACAGCGTCTGTGACAAACAGGAATGTCAGAGACGGGAAAGGGAAGAGTAAGAGAGAAATATTCATCTTTTATTTCTAAAAAAAATAACGTTAATGGTACAAGTAGGTCCAAACCCAGCAAACCCCAGCCACTTATAAAGGTCACCTTGTGCCTAAATCATTTATTGTCACTTGTGTTGAAATACGGGACTTTGTATCAATCCGATCATAGTGAAAGATGGCAGAGTATCTATTGGAGATATCGGAGGTTAGTAGACGAGGACATTTGTAGCCATTTCACCGGTTACATGTATAACAGAGGCTTTTAGTGACCGAGCACTGACAGTCCAACAATCCACATTATCAGGTTATTGATCGACTTACAATCGGTATAGCTGGAATCTTCAGGAACAGGATTAGGAGTTGGAAAACACGGAAAATTGTAGCATTCTGGTGGGTGGACAGGGTGATATAAATCACTGCCTGACCCCAGCAACTGCCAGGTTAACTCTGAAACCAACTTATTCCACATTTCAAGGAACATTAAGCAGGGCAATAAATAACAGAGAACCTAGGGCCATTGCTCCTTAACCCTTTCTCGGCTAATTTGCTACTGGACTACATTCAGCAAGAAAAAACACAGCAATAAATCTTGCAGTGAATTTACCTTCAGACTAATGCATTTTGTAAAAAGACAGATTATGCGTCCTTTTCAGTGTAACATGAAGGGAGCTTGTTTATGAATCCATGCCGTGTTTATTTAGGTATGATTGAGATAAACATCCGTAATATTGAAATAAAAGCCGTCTGTATGTGAGTTCCTCAACATTATTAAGGGGTTTAAGACTAAGATGTTTTAAGACTAAGAAGTTTGATCATATTCTAATACGCAGTGAATTAGGACGGTGTCCGACCCGACGCTGAATATCTTTGTATTTTGTGACTTTTCTAGGGATGACTTGTCAAGCGCGCTGCTCCTACGTTGCTTCTGAAGTGTTATGGGGTCATCGCTTCATGCCCGTCCTAACTTTGGAGAAAGGATTCTATGAAGTGGATTACACGAGTTTTCATGACACCTACGAGACCCCCACTCCAAGCTGCAGTGCTAAAGAACTGGACGGACTGCAGAGGGGAGAACGGATAGTCCGTCTCTGCACTCCACACAGGGATAAGGGAGCTCAGAATGGGGCATTGGGATCAGAAGAACGAAAGCCTGGGACACAGCCAGACTGAAACCGTGCAGACCTGGAGGTATATCTACTTCTACTGCTTCTTCACAGCGAGCAGTGCCAGCGATACTCCATGTTTTGCTTTATTTATTGTAACAAAGGATGTGATGGGTTGAATGGGTATCTTGGTAAAATAGCTAGTCTCCCCCTCCACCTCCCCACCTGGACAGCTGAATTAGGAGATAAGCTAAATCAATACACGTTATTAACCGGAACCTTTATCCCATGGTGGACAGTATGTACAAAGGTTGTGTGGTCCTCCCCTGCCAGCTCTAATCCATGAAGCATTATATGAAGAATGCCCTCTCCTGGGGATGAGTGGTATTTATTGGTGGAGGGGTTAGATGCTCTGTCTGTAGCTATATGTACACAGTGATAATATAGTGTCAGCACTAAATAAAGTAAATGTATTCTCAGTTTTTACAACGTCCACTTTGTTCTGATGAGATACGGCTTCCCCAAAGATGCTCCACCATTTAAACCTTGATAAAATCATGGTGGTGCTGTTTTCCATTGGCTTTGTGCAAAGTATGTGTCCTAGTTCCCCCGCTCCCCCCCCCACTCCCCGGACACAAACACCACTCTTGCACACACAGAGGCACCCACATAACTATATCTACATCCAGGTACACATGTGTACACATTACATTCGCTTTTACACTTCCCTTGTGACATGACAACTGCAAACCTAGGACAAAGACCCAACTTTACACGTGTTATAATGCACACATGCACACTAATTTTACATGTATGTATTTACAGGAAACATGCAATCACAAACAAAACAATTGAGCACACCTGATATCTGCTGTTTTTCATACTTGAGCATGCATGATACTTACTCCCACACTATACTTGTAAGCGCAGGAAATGTACACCTACGTTATATACTTGTACATTATACATTTACACTTACATTATAAACTCAGATTTACACTTGTGAAAACTGTACTTTTGAACCACCACTATACTTACATACAGTGTACAGACACAATCAGGTTAATTACACCAATGCTTTCCTTCCTCACAAAGGAGATAATTTGTTTGTGCTAATAGTTTGTGCACAAGAGAGGCAACTATTATTCAAAGTCTTTCACCTACAAGACACGAACAGACAAGCACCCACTAACACAGATTACAGAAGGTTTTCCATTACATCAAACGTGTCCAAATTCTGTACCTACCAGATCTATACATTTTTCCTGGATTTTTGTCGTGTGTGTAAAAGACCACTTTACACTATATATTCTGAAAAACTCAAAATCTATTTCTCTCCCCCCTCCCCAAAAAATTAAATATTGTAAATAGGTTTGCCATTGGCAATTATTCACTTTGTAGTGAATACATTTTTGTATTTGTTTGACGGAGCTCAAATGTACATTTAATAGAGAATAGTTTGTGTGAAACTAGTGACTGGGTTTAATGCAGAAAGTGAGTCACTGTCTGCAATCGATTATAAGAGAATTGGGGAGGAAGGGGGGACGTCTAACATTTATACACTTTGTATGATTTCTTTATGAACACATCACAGATAAAATAAATGTTTAGCAATAATGGGATTTCTGGCAAAACAAAATGTTTCTGTGTTTGGTTTCTTGTTGTTTTTAACTGTCACTTTGAATTATCTGTGGCAGTGAGTATAGATACAAAAATGCAATCTTACTAGCAAGACTGATGCCCCCTCACGATGGGACTAGGCAATCGGTCGTGATTGAGTGGATATTTGAATTACTAGGATAGGCTGAGATGTTACTTGAATTGAGACCAAGATAAGCAGGTGCTGATTGAGTGCAGGCGCTCACTCTTACTAAGCAAGGCTGGGGGGGTTCCCTGCTATGGTACCACCACACTAAGCGATTGACCATTGCTAGAAGACTTAGTTAGAAAACCCCCAAGAATTACTGATTATACAGAATCCCAAAAGATCCCAATGTGATCATTCACTTTGAACGGCCCATCTTCAAAACATTAAGCGTTCTCGTCAATGATAGTTTCTGTTATAAAATATTCACTAGTTTTGCTGAACTACGGTGGGAATCTGGGAAATTCTCTGCAAAGCCCTAGAATATAAATCTACCTGCTCCGCACGTCTTTGCGTGTCATTAATTACAGTTATCCGTTATGTGTTCTATGATATAAGTGATCAAAGTTATGGTTTAATTGCAAAATGATCATCTGAAACCAATACTCCCTTTAAATGGAGTCCTGTGTTCAGTAGGTCTTCCCTTGATGATCTCACACATCCATTGAAATCCGTAAAAATGACATACAGAAAAGAAAACAAGAAAATAGAGTAACACCAAGTATCTTGTGATCATGGTGCAAATACACTCACAAGATACTTCTGTAAAACCTGGTGCAATCCTCCAAACCTTCTCATCAGGACTATCTGAAACCAACTAATAGACACATCACGTGATTGATCATTCCCAATCCTTTACTGCAGCTTCACTAGCTCATCCGCCACCTGGTTCCCAACCAATGTGTTTTGTCCTCTAAGAAAGACGACTTCGGCAGCTGGAAAGTAATTCTCCAAATGGCAATAATAAAACCAAATTGCTGTTTGCAGTGAGCTGCGCTTTAATTATTCCCCCAGGTATATTTAGTGGATACATTTGTATATACTTTTGTCTTCCTAGCTTTGTGTTATTTTTGTAGTATTGAATAAAGAGGTAGTCACTAAAGGTCATTTTAACACACATGCAAACCTCAGAGTTTATTTTGTTGTTGTTTTTTATTAGTACTATATTAGCAATATATATATATATTATATATATATTTATATATATTATATTTGACTTTTGTTTTGGGGATGTGGATTCTGGCACTTTATTTGGTATTTTATTATTTTTAATTTCATTATTTGGACAAGGTGAGAACTGGCAGTAAATCAGTGAAGTGGGCGCTCCCACTCATTGAGGTATTACTTTCTTTGCGTTGATCTTCCCATTCAGCCTTAGACGATGGCCATCATTGCTCAGTGGGCATTTGCCTGATGGCCAGTTGGGTTTTGTATAATTACCAGTACAATCAACTGATCAAGAATGGACTTTCACTTTAGCATTGGCTGCCCTCATTATTGTAACTCGTCCTCCCCATCGATATAACCTGTGTACTCGATCTTTGTGACCCATCCACCCCATCTTTGTAACCCGTCCACCCAAACGTTGTCACCCGTATACTCTATGATTGTAAACCATCATTTGAACCCGTCCTCACTGTTATTGTAACCTGTCCTCCCCATCATTGTAACTCGTCCTCCCCATCATTGTAACTCGTCCTCCCCATCGATATAACCCGTGTACTCGATCGTTGTAACCCATCCACCCCATCTTTGTAACCCGTCCACCGAAACGTTGTCACCCATATACTCTATGATTGTAAACCATCATTTGAACCCGTCCTCACTATTATTGTAACCTGTCCTCCCCATCATTCAAACCCGTCCTCGCCATCAGTAAGCTGGCTGGCCTCCTGGCTGTCACTCGTTTTAATGTGCCATATGAGAGGCATGCAGCTATAATCTGGGTGGGAGAGCGCTATGGCTGCTCATAACTATAGGTAGCATTACAAGTGTGTAAATTGTGTCTCTAAAAATCTTTGTAGATGCAGTTCCTTGCTGTATTCACTTGCACTCTGTTAATGTATTTATAGCAGACTGGACTATTCATCTGTGACCAAATGTTAGGATTGGCTTGTATAGGGTTTTCACTTTACGGTTTGGGCTATTTTTCTATTTATTTTGTTTATTTTTCTATTTTTTTTTTATTTTTGTGATTTTTAATAAAGGAATAATATAGATTATTTTATGTTTCTCATTTCTGACTTCCCTTTATTGGAGTTACTCTATGTAAGCATTATACTTGTGTACAAATCCCTTTTAGCTAAGCTGAACAAATCAAATGCCGATCAATCTATGGACAACAAATTGATTAGTTTAGATTTGCCTAATGCATCATTTCGTTCATCCATAGATTAACCGGTATTGAATTCTGTCAACGCTGATAAAATAGGTATGTTCACAAGTCTAATGAGAACAGTTTCAAGTGTTTCCTGTGGTCAATAGTGTAGATTGGATTAGCCGTATTAGTCCATTAGACAAGCTGCTGTATTGCTTCAGACCTGAGGAAGAGAGGAAAACTCTCAAAAGCTTGTCTTTGAAATATTGTTAGTCCAATAAAACCGGTATCATTGCATACTGCAATATTCTGGTATTTTGGCATCTGTGGTCAATATAAACACAGACGTCGAGGGTAGTCTAGCAATCAGGAGATTCCTCTTTAATTTGCAATAGCCCTGATGGATACAATGCTAAGATATACCTAAAATGTAAAATACTGTAGCCATTTATCTAGGCTAGGGTAAAACATATAGCGGCAGTGCCAAACTTCCCCGAGGGACAGATGCATTCCGAATGATTTTAATGATTAGATGATCAACGTTCCAGGAAAATGCTGTATGTTTGGAATCCCTGACGGGTCTGTTTTGTATTTCTGCCTCCCCGTCCCCAAGAGCTGATTCCGAGGAAGGTGTAAAACTTATCGAGAACATGATTAAGAGAGGTGAGGATTAACTGAAGCAGAACACGCTGTAGCTGCTGTCACATCATAATTGAATTCACTGAGCTACACAGTTTTAGAGGGGAAATATATTAGATAATTAGTGTGTGCTAAATCACAGTGTATGTTCGTTACCTTGTATTGCTGTCAGCGTTCTCCTCCAAGCACTGCATATCAGGCTGCTGTCAGCGTTCTCCTCTAAGCACTGCATATCAGGCTGCTGTCAGCGTTCTCCTCTAAGAACTGCATGTCAGGCTGCTGTCAGCGTTCTCCTCTAAGAACTGCATGTCAGGCTGCTGTCAGCGTTCTCCTCCAAGCACTGCATATCAGGCTGCTGTCAGCGTTCTCCTCTAAGCACTGCATGTCAGGCTGCTGTCAGCGTTCTCCTCCAAGCACTGCATATAATGCTGCTGTCAGTGTCATCCTCTAAGCACTGCATATCAGGCTGCTGTCAGTGTTCTCCTCCAAGCACGGCATTTCAGGCTGCTGTCAGTGTTCTCCTATAAGCACTGCATAGCAGGCTGCTGTCAGTGTTCTTCTCTAAGCAATGCATATCATGCTGCTGTCAGTGTTCTTCTCTAAGCAGTGCATATCAGGCTGCTGCCAGCATTCTCCTCCAAGCACTGCATATAAGGCTGATGTCAGTGTTCTCCTCTAAGCACTGCATTTCAGGTTGCTGTCAATGTTCTCCTCTAAGCTCTGCATATCAGGCTGCTGTCAGCGTTCTCCTCTAAACACTGCATATCATGCTGCTGTCAGTGTTCTCCTCTAAGCACTGCATATCATGCTGCTGTCAGTGTTCTCCTCTAAGCAGTGCATATCAGGCTGCTGTCAGTGTTCTCCTCTAAGCAGTGCATATCAGGCTGCTATTAGTGTTCTCCCCTAAGCACTGCATATCATGCTGCTGTCAGTGTCAACCTCTAAGCAGTGCATATCAGGCTGCTGTCAGTGTTCTCCTCCAAGCACGGCATTTCAGGCTGCTGTTAGTGTTCTCCTCTAAGCTGTGCATATCAGGCTGCTGTCAGTGTTCTCCTATAAGCACTGCATATCAGGCTGCTGTCAGTGTTCTCCTCTAAGCACTGCATATCAGGCTGCTGTCAGTGTTCTCCTCTAAGCAGTGCATATCAGGCTGCTATTAGTGTTCTCCTCTAAGCACTGCATATAAGGCTGCTGTCAGTGTTCTCCTCTAAGCAGTGCATATCAGGCTGCTATCAGTGTTCTCCTCTAAGCACTGCAAAGAAGGCTGCTGTCAGTGTTCTCCTCTAAGCACTGCATATCGGGCTGTCAGTGTTCTCCTCTAAGCACTGCATATCAGCATATCAGGCTGCTATCAGTGTTCTCCTCTAGGCAGTGCATATCAGGCTGCTGACAGTATTCTCCTCTAAGCACTGCACATCTGGCTGCTGTCAGTGTTCTCCTCTAAGCACTGCATATCGGGCTGCTGTCAATGTTCTCCTCTAAGCACTGCATATCGGGCTGCTGTCAGTATTCTCCTCTAAGCACTGCATATCAGGCTGCTGTCAGTGTTCTCCTCTAAGCACTGCTTATCAGGCTGCTGTCAGTGTTCTCCTCTAAGCACTGCATATTAGGCTGCTGTCCGTGTTCTCCTCTAAGCACTGCATATCAGGCTGCTGTCAGTGTTCTCCTCTAAGCACTGCATATCAGGCTGCTGTCAGTGTTCTCCTCTAAGCACTGCATATCAGGCTGCTGTCAGTGTTCTCCTCTAAGCACTGCATATCAGGCTGCTGTCAGTGTTCTCCTCTAAGCACTGCATATCAGGCTGCTGTCAGTGTCCCAGAACAAGGCAGCTCTGGAGGGGGGCAATTAACCAAAACTAAAATGTATTTTACAGTAAAGGGATATTAACATTACAAACATGCACATCATAATTAAAATAATAATATATACTACAATACAGTAGAAGGTACATTACTAATGCATGCTACGGGGGAGGGAGTGCTGTAGTGGTTATGGTGCTTAAAGTGTTGCTTTAAGCCTATAAAGATATTATTTATCAAAGTCTCTCTATGCTCCAGTATTTTTCCATGATGGAGTTATACCAATCTGTGCTTCTTGATGCCCCTTTAGATCTGTGTCTTTTTCTAATCAACCTGCATAATGACTCCATCTTCGACATTGAGCTACTTGTAGGGCAAAGCTTCCCTGAAAGCCCTTGAACTGAATGGGATGAAATAATGTCATAGTGCTCTGTGATAAATCCAGTAGGAGGTGCAAGCATTAAGATGGGTTGCTATGGATACCAAGCGATCTTCCTATCATAAAGTGGTAGTGGCATTTAACGAGAGCGCATAGAATAGCGTATTACTCTCTATAGTAAGCACAGAGTCCATCGCTCTGAGACACACTGTATCCTTCTGATAATATATCAACTACAAACACTGAGTTTAATAATTACAGGCTGCTGAACTAGTAACCAGTAACAGCCGTGTAACAAAATAAAGGATAGCGCAGGGTAAGGTCCAGAGTCCTTTGTGATAGCTATAGTTTATATGACGTGGATTATATTGCAGTTTAGAATGTGTTCGTGCAATGAGCACAGTTTGTGATTTTAATTTTGGGACGACTGTAATTCAGTGATGGCTGGCTTTGTATTTGGGAGCTACATATTGGAAGATGGTGGCCGG